AGTTGAATTGAACTATATATGAATGACTTCATTCAAGCAAGTTTTCTTTCGTTTATCGCAATATAATCTCAAGATTTCCACGTTGAGGCTAACAGATCTTTTCAGAATCAAGCATATTCTTTGTTTCTGTGCATCCAGAAGAGCTATAGAGAAGGCCCTTTAATTTCCATACACAAAGCCGCGCATTTTCAATTCAAACTTTATAAGGAGCAGTGCAGTCGCTTTGCACGTACGCAAAAGCTGCGCACTCAAAGGTTAAGCCAAAGACCGAAACGCTCTCCGTTCTACCGTATTATTCCGCCTCGGCGGAAGGCCGTGGCTCGCACGGATCGCGTTCGCGTATTTAGCCGCGAAATGTGCCGTGCGATAATCAGCGCGCGATAACATCGATCGCCGTAATGGACAAACAGGCGCCGGAATCCCGACGGCCACGCCGCGCCGCTACGCTGCCTGCCGGGCCGGGGCGACAGGCGTGCGAAGGTGCGTGCGCGCGGGCGGGACCGTCTCGTAATTACGCATAAGCATAATCGGCGTTTGCAAATGAGCGCGGATGAGCCGCGGTCGCGCGAGTCGCGACACGTCGCGCCGCGCCGCCTACGATCCTCTCGGAGCGGACGACGATGACGCGCGTCAAGGAGAAAGGCTGGAAACGCGGGTTTCTTCCCGGGGAAGGGAAAACCGCGACTTTTGTTGCGAAACGCGCGGCTTTAACTCGCCTCGTGTTTATTTCAACAGGCTGCGATCGCGCTCTTATCAGCGCCGATCGTCCCTCGCGTCGAAATTCGGCTGACGACACGCCGATTATTTAAGTATCTCCGTCGAGGACCGCGCCGCGCGGTTTTTCACGCCCGAATTTACCTTCTCGTCGAACGACGATGCACGGGGCTTATCGCGCGGGATATATCTCGATGACGGGCTTCTGGATAGATCGGAGCACGCACGATAACGCGAAACACTTTCGCGGAGAACACTCGTCCACAAATATCTCACACACGTGGTGCTGATTAGCGATCGGCCGCGTCGGGACGGCGCGGCGGCGACGTTTAAAGTCACTAACGCTATCGCCGGCAACCGCCGCCGCTATCGTCGCTCGTACACACGTTTCTTCGAACTTATAGGCTCTCTCTCTCATATATAACTTTTATACTTATATTTAACCCCGTTCGATGGTAGCAACTTGAGCGCGTGGAAGGACGTGGATCGTTCGCGTGAAATGGAACACCTTCCTCTTTGAAGGAGCACTCGCGCATAAAGGCGGGCGTAGGAAAAAAAAGAAGTCCGCTGCAGGTTTTTACCGAGTTTCGAAAAAGTTGCGCCTTTTGAAGGCTTAATCTTGGAACGTTGCGGAGGTAATTTATCTTTTTTTTTTTAATTATATCCTTAATAAATCCTCGATCTTTCCGTACCGCGACGACGTCGGGGAACGTTTGCCGCGCTACACAGGCCACTTCGCTCGCCTCAAGCATAAATATTATTGTCGTCGATACCTGGTTAACCGAGGCGAGTATTCATTTCGTAGGCATTCAAATGTGGCAGTTGCGAATGGGACATAATAATGTACAAGGAGATAATAACACGCGCGGGCTCGGTATACAGGACGGTAAATTTATTATATTACAGCCCGCGTGTATACGCCCGCTACCAATATTTCTGAATTATGCGCGTTACGCGCCTCTCGAAATGTGTATATAGCGTTTCCAGTTTGTATTCTCGCAAAACATTTGTGTTTGCGACATCGCATCGGTTGAATATTTCGCCGTATTATCGATTTCGAGTACATTCAGCAATTCTCTCTCTCTCTCTCTCTCTGTCTCTCTCAATATTTTTGCGCATAAGCAAAACTTGATTCGACGCGATAGCACATTCGTCACGAGTTAAGGGCGATCATATTGTCATCCCAGTTATTAACGGTCACCGTAAAGATCGTCGTGACCGTCTCGAAGGCTAATATCGAACACGAAGTTTCGAATTCGTTCGACCCTGAATTAGTTAGCGCCGTCCGCAGTCGAGTACGATATACTCCTGTTGCATAACCTGCGGCATTTAATCCTACGGCCCCGAGGCTGCCCCGTACGGTCGAGCAAAATGCAATTTGCGAACATATATTAGGATATTACGCGCGAAACGTCCGATTGAAAAACCGTAAAAACCGTTCGCTCGATCCGTGATTATTTTATTAGAGTTTGCGTAAAAGCGAAACTCCTTCGCGATTGCTCTTTTCCTGTTAATTTGGCACAATTTTGCAAAATTCCACCTCGATTGCGCGAGAGTTTCGGGTTACGGTTAATTTTAACAATCGGAGCATTCCGAATAATGTTTGCGTTGCATGTATTATTATAGAACCTCGTTACATGAATTTGATATTTAGGGCTGGTTATATTATAATATCGTGGAAATTAAATGTCAGCATTCAAAGTTCAATGTTTCAAAATGTATTAAATTACTTCGAGTGCCGCGCGAGTTAGTTCTTAGACTCCATTTTTTAAAAGCTTTGTAATAAGATTCGAAACTTGAATATTGTCATGTTTCCATTTTTCTATTAAATTCGTAGCTCGCAGCTATGTAATATGTAATAAGAAACATATCAATGGCCTTCGGAACAAAATACACATGAAAATGTTATCGCGAGATTAGACGGGTAAAATTTAGACTGGGTATTTTAGATAACCGCTTTATCACTGAACCAGGTAATGTTTTACCATTTCCTATTATACATATATCTGTAAGATGCACGTACGCGTTCAGTTTATATGGAACTAACCCTATTCACTCCAACTTGCCCTTTCGTGTCCCACGAGTTTCTAACACTCGTAAAAAGGCGGAGTTTCTAACACTTTTAAAAAAATATTTAAGTAAATGATTTCCAAATGTTATTTACATTGATTTTTAGTCGAAGGTACAAAGATATTATAATAATTTTTGGGGAATTTTTCAAAGCTATTAACATTTTGAAAGACACGTCTGACTTGAAAGTGCATGGTTGGAGGATTAAAGGGGCGGAAAAAACGTTGGATGTAACAGGGCTAAATGGAAAAAGGATAACTGAGATAATGATAATTACATGCATATCAGTGCGCTAGAAAAGGTCGCAGCAAAACGATTTTTTTAAAACAAAAATTTGTATCTCTTTCAAAGATTCCGCCTGATTTTTTTTCCTGTACGCGCACTATTATCTTCTCCGAAGAATTCTGAATTAGTAAGGCATCCCTAAATGTGCCACTTTGTGTCAATGATTGACGATAGCTTCCATTATATCGGAAATCGATGCAATGCGTTTACGTAAGCACATATTTGGTTTGATATGATGGATGTCAGCGAGTAATTAGATGGAAATTCGCGACTGGCAATTCATCGTTCGCCGGCATTATTCGTAATCGCCCCGCGTCATTGTTATTCGCATTCACCTTTACGAGCCCCGTAGTCGTCACTTTCGACGAAATATTTTATTTATGCTTATGACATAGTTTTACCGCGTGCGCGCCACTTTGACCATCGCGCAGTCGGCGTTAATCGATTTGCCGGTGCATATATCGCCTACATGCGAACTTGCTTTCACAACCTCGGCAGGATTTGTCTCGGCAGGCTCTATTTATTTCCCCTCGGTTTAGTTTCAGCAAAACGTTATATTTATGTTATCTATTTTTATATTATATTATAAAACACATGACAATTCGTTTTATTACTGCAAATAGCGAAGATTTTATTTCATGTGAAAAAAGTAGCATGGAAAAATGTATTTTAGAACGTAAACTATACTTTAGCGACTATAGCAGCATTTTTATTATTCGTCCATATTTTATAAGCTTGGTTATTTGATAAAGAGATAGCAGGATAAAGCTTTTCGCAATATTTCAGTCATCTATGATACTTTAATCGTAAAATCAATCGTAAAATAATATTTTTCCTTACTTTTCGGCGTTAAATTGAACGAGAGGAAGAGAGAGAAAGAAAAACAATTTCATATAAACGATACGTCTTCACCTGTGATATTTTCTGACTTTTGCTGCTGTTTTAATGACATTTTGGTATTAAAGAGAAAAAAAGGAGAAGAGAGAAAAAGAGACGAGACGAGAAGAGAAAGAAAGAGAGAGGAGGCAAGGGAGAGAAAGAATTTTGTGACGAACAATTATTCTCATTTGTAATACGTGGCTGCGCATTCTGACACAATTTTTATGTCATAATTATATTTTCGTCTCCCGTCTCCTCTGTCGATTCTTTTAATTAATCGCGAGGAGTGTGCAGCGACGACGATAACAAACCACGTAGGTCGGTTTGTTTGTTCATCGCCCGTTTCTCGAATCACTTAACATCGAGGCGATGTATCATATCCGCGACCGGCGCCGATATTAATCGTTTTACATTCGCGTCCCTGCCGTAATCTTCCGCGATAATGGATTGCGCAGGTTGTCGTGGCCGAAGCAGTCCCCCCTCTCCCCCCAGTGGGTCGAATAAGCGATATCCGCGATTTCACGTACCGCCGATAGTCCGTCGCTAATTGATCGGACAAAAGCGTGATTTTGCAATTTCCATATAAATGGAAATGTAGATTCCGACATATTGCAAGAGCGAGGATTCACTATCGTCATGCCTATCGCCGGGTTTCTCTATTCGTGCGCCGCGATCTATATGTTTATCGATCACGGATTCCGTTCATGCGTGCGACGTGCATCGACGTGCATATGCGTTTACGTCCGCGTTACCGGCCGACGGCGAATTGTCCAATGGGCGTGAATGATCGAAATGTAAATAGCGCTAAATTTTCAAAATCTCGTTTCGCACGGAAATGAAAAAGCGAGCGGATACATCGGGTGGATATAGGAAAAAAAGCAGCGCTACTTTATTCATAATAAATAGTCGATGGAATAATTTTATGGTTAACGTAAAATATTAGAACGGTGAAATTAGTACAAATTGATATGATCTTATCTCTTAACGTGATGATTAACGTACAACGTACGTGTAAAGGTGCTTTGATAACATAATTCCCACATTTACTTTAACATTTTACTTTAACGTCCTTTCCCTTTGCCGTGCACCGCGTAATTACATTTGCTTGTAGAATTCCATTTAAAAAAATATAATACGGAATATACATGCAATATATACATTATGAAATAGATAGCCACAATTGAATGTACCATATTTATATAATAACAACACAATATAATAACATAATGTTTTAAATAATGTTAAAAATAAATATCGCGATATATTGAATTCTCAACAAAAACACCGAGAAAAAAATACTTGACAATTTATTTGTGAAATATAAGATTTATTTCTGTGAAATATTATATTCTATAAATTTTTAAGTATTTTTTTCTCAGTGTACTTGAAATTTTGAAGTTCACGATTGTGCACGAAGGTGAAACCTGATTATTAATACACATTTATACTAGGAACTTTATCAATAGATTGACGGTTTTATCGAAGCTTTGATCGCGAAAGCTCGACGAATGTGCGCAATATCTGTTAATTCGGTACCTATTTTCCTCTCTTGCAACAAACGCAATAGAAAAGCGTTAATTGACGTACCGACGGCGAATAACGTCAATCCAAACACAATCGTCAAATGCACGCCGCGCATAATACCGTTTTGTAATGGCTGTCTGACCACTGCATGTATCATTAAGCTCTATATACGAATCGATTCGGTTCGCGCAATTTGACCGGCACACTCGCGTTAATCGCGATTTTGCGGCGGCGCGAAATACTTTGCATATGGAACATTAACGAGATGAGCCTTTACTTATGAGTTAAACTGGCAGAATGATTATTAATCGATTCGATGACGGGGCCGGTACTTATTTGTCTTTCTCGTATAGCGCGTGGGAACGACAAGCGCAATCGACAGACGTTGACGCAGGCTGAAATCTCGATGAGAGGAGGAACGTGGGTTATAGACGTCGTATAGTCACACCGATTGTATGATACGTCACGAAATAATGCGTTTTTTTCTGGGGGAAAATGCATTTTTGGCATTTAAGGATAAGCATGCCGATCTATACTTATAAGGTCATACGTTCGATTATACTGTTTTAAAAATTGGCGAATCTATCGCGAGTCTGAAATAAACCTTATTTCTTTCATCGTTTTTTACTTTTCCGTCGCTCTGCGAGCGATCGAAGAATTGGAGCAGATATCGTGTGAAGCGACATATTTACCCCATTTGTAGGCAGGATACACGGTTTGCTTCCTTTCTATACGAGTAGGCGCGACCTTGCGTGCCGCGCGGCCGTTGATTGTATCACCGTTCGGATCCGTCCTCGCGATAGCTTCGGTTATCGAAATATTAAAAACGCGCGCGCACGGTGCTCTTCGGCGGAATGTTTGGAGAACTTGCTACGCGTGCTGTCAGTATCAGCGTACGAGCAAACAATGAAGAGCGGAGGCGCCTAACGAGTCTGTAAATTAAATTTTCCTCCTCGTTCTCTCGTTTCGCGAGAATACTACGCGCATACGTCCGCTGACGTAAAAGTGCAGAAAATTTGTCCACGTAACGCGATATCGCTACGGTCGATTTGAAAAGGTCATGCGTACACATACGATATTAAATTATTGGCGTCGGCACAGAAAAGAAAACGTTTCTCGTTTCCATTATTCGCTGAAAGAAACGCTCCCATCGTCGTTCAGGCATGCAGGCAGCTGATAAGCGCGGCTCTAACGTAGAAATTAGAGCGTTTAAACACGAGGTGGCTAACACATTAAACACATAGAGCCGGCTAATTAGACATAGTTGAGAGAAAAGCGAAATGCGCAGTGCGCGCGTGAAATGGCATGACTGGTATCGAGAACGACGATGACATAACTGGCGTCTTAACTTGGTAAATTAATTGTGGTTGCGGTAACAGGTTGCATGGCGGACGCCGTGGCCGTACTCACGCGCGCATATATGTCTATACAAGCATTAAGCCATTATCAAATCATAAGCGTCGCGCAAGCATAGTTTGGCAATAGCCTTGTTTGCCGAGCGACAATACCGCCGAGATGTCAGCGCTTTGCGCGCACCGGCTCTTGTATAATATGTAAAGTTAATGCTAACGCTGTCGCCTCGGTTTTCTGCATAATGGCGTCGGACAATGCAATGGCGCGACAAAATAGGCTAAGCTAATGGGATGAGCCGCGTATGAATAATGATGCAAAGTTAAAAATTATTGTTCTTCCACCGTCGTTTGCCAAGCGGCGCCGCTTTTCGCGACGCTATTTCTTCTATTTCTCCTTCGCGGAGGACGCCTCTATGTGAGTGCGCACTTTCGGCCGCCGCTGTATAACTAAAAATTTAATTCGCAAACGAGGCGGACCTTTCCCATCCTGATGAGGAGCGATAAGGAATTATTGAACGTGTTTTTTTGCCGGAACGGGGCGCGCGGGAGCCGTTCGCGAAAGGACTGCAACACAATGTGATTAATGAAAGGGATTATTCCATCCATTAATTTTCATCCCGCACGTGTATTTGTAGAAGCGCCCTCGGTTCAACGGTTACGTTCGTCGTTATTCGCGTAACGCGAATCATTAATTACGATTTAACGATAACTGGCCATATTTCATATATATATATACGCGACGAAGTATCGATAACCGGCCGCTCTTATATCGGTGCATATCTCCCTGGAGACGCAGGCGGGCGGTCGCGTTGAGTGATAAGCGAAATTGTTATCGATACGGACGGATTTAATCGCGATAATCTCGCGGGAGACCGGCGGTGTCGCTTATCTTCGATTTCGTACAACTGCCGAGTTGGCATTTTCGATGCCTGGGACGCATCACTTTTTCTGATCCACTTTACATGCCTGCATGTATTCATGCATGTACTTATTACTTTACATCCGGTGAAACCCGTTATCATTAATCCACGATGGATGACAGTTTATGCAAATTATGATGAAGAAGGAGGAGGAGCCTCTAGTTGTCTACACGAGTAAGTGTGTACATTGTGTTAATAACGCCTGATGTTTTTGCGAAAAACCAATAATCAATTAGTGATCCTTTTAAAGGAAATAATTTCCATTAATTGACGATTGGTTCTTACAAGATCATGAATTCTTAGTGCGCTACAATGTAGCCAATTAGACGTGCTCTTTCCTACTATTAATCATACAAGAATCACGAAATATCGATTCCGATCATCGTCGTACGAGCCCTTGTACGATTAATGATCTAAGTTATACGACGGCGATCGATTAAGCCTCATTGTTTCTGTTTCATCATTTGTAAAACATGTCATTAATGTCACATTACAGGTTTGTATTTTTAAAAAATACATGCGAGAGAACGGATGGCCGCAGGTAGGAGTACCTTGAGGGGAGAGAGGCTCCTTATCCCATAATTTCCGGCAACATTCTCCGACATATATATCGGCATATCCTATCGACTCGCTGCCTGCTTCAAGAAGGCAGAAAAAATCTCCCCCGGCAAAGCGGGAGACGTAAACGCCTCTGCCTCTCATTGTCGGGACCGAAAGGGACGGCGCCCGTAGTTAGTAGCGGAGAAATGAAGCAGGGACTACCTATTGAACGTTCAGCCTCTGCTTTTCAAAGCCGTGGGGGGGGGGGGTGGCTATTGGCATTACGCGAAACGAGATATCCAATAACTTCGTTTTTCACAATTAACGAAGCGCGCGTATCAAAGGATGGCCGGTGATGCGTAAGCTTCACTGATGACGATACTCGCGCGGCCAATGTTCAATAACGTGCCATTACTCGAGAGCTCGATCCTCTGTTGTTTCAGTGCTCGAAACGCGCCGCAGCGCCGCCGCCGTCGCGTACATTTGCGGGGAGAGTCTCAGAATCATACGTGTGCCGCAAAATACGCGCTAACGCACCATTGTTTCATAACGGAATTAAAATTGGCGATAACGTTTTATCGACGCTTTTGGCACGTAGACATACATACGCAACACACGACACATAACGCGATATTCTCTCTTCAAACTTTTCACGATCTATATGTTTTATTGTGTTTTGTATTGTGAAATGTATCTTTTATTTTATGTAATAAATTGTTTGAAAAACGAATACATAACTATATATTATTTATATGTTTTTTCCACTTATGTGAATAGATAACAGTAATCCAAAAACATTTATGAGATTCAGTTGCTTGCTTTTGGCGTCAATGGTTTGAATTTCAAAAAACAATTATGAGACGGAAAAAGAGAATATGAGCTAATTTACCGCGGAAGGCTTGTTCGCAATGTTCGAAGAAACAGCTATTTTCATACTTCATGGCTGTGAGGAAGTATCTGTAAATCCCTCCGCCCTCGAAAATATGTGTATCGAAGTTTAAAGGATTTGGCAGAAGAATTGCGAGCAATGCCAGAGTGCAACGGCAAAGCTGGCGCGGGTCCATCTGCATTTATCGTGCACTTTTCCCCGTTTAAGGCCAACAACTCGGGAGAGTTCGTGCAGGTATATTCGCAACAGTGCATCGGTCGTATATTGTGGTTTAGTTGGAAAACTCGATGGGAAGCCATTTTTCCAAGCACTCCGTTCGAGCTTAATAGACGTTTCGAGCGGGTGGCCCGCCTGTGAAACCTCGAGATCATTGACCCTTCACAGGAATTTCGTATTATCGTTTATTGCGATATAACGGTACGTTTCGCGGGACAAAGATAGCTAAAATATGTTCTATGCTGCGCTATTGGATATCGCGGGGCCGATGCTCTTATTAGAAAAGTTGCGTTCAATGTCGTTGCAACGGTGCCGGTGGAGAGAAGCGTTTGGCACGCTTCCAGGGTGAGCTCTCCACGGGAACTTTCCCCGGCTTGTACGTTTGCATGAAAATTTCAAGAGCTCCTTGCCGAGTCACAACCTTTGAAAAATTGCCCCCTTCTATATCATTCGATTAATCTTGATCGCTCGTTCTACGTTATATACATTGTACTTTTAAGGGGAAGCGCTAATAGGATTATTCACAGGTGGATTGATTAACAGCCGGGAAAAATTACTTCTTCGATATTTGCGAAATCGATATACCTAGGAAAAGAGGCAAAATAAATTCATCTTTCCGCTGTCGCGTTTTCTGAATCGGCCGGGACAGACCGTCGCATCGTGCGAGCTTTTTGCAGGATGTTCTTGCGGCGATTCTGTCGGGCTTTCGTACGGCTCATGTGGTGCAGAAACGGGGGATCAAAGTCGATGGCGCGAAGCCTCGAGTGGTCATTATCTATACCCGAAGAGATGCCATGAAAAGACGCGTGTAGCCGAGCATAAAATAGAGCACGTGACTCGGCAAGCGCTTCTAATGACACTTTAAGGTCAAGCAAAGGATTCTGAAGGTTCACACAAAGTTACTTAACGAGCATTAATTAAGTCGCAATACCTTCTGATTGCGCAAAGACGATGGTATGTTACAATCGTAGAACGATTAATATAAAAATGTCTTTAATTGCAAAGAGCATAAGAAAGAATTATCATCTTTAATCAGTTGGACAATTTATTCGTTACACGATTCGACAATTTAAGTCGTATCGTATATTTTCTTTTATCATAATGTGAAGTTTTTTAATTAAAAATTCGTGTCTGCAATGTGAAGTTGGCGCGACATTCTATGAATAAATTTCAAAAAACTAATTGTCAAGAGTTTTAGTAGCACTTTCCATGGTTCTACAGCTCCTGATAAACATTAAAGAGATTTCCACATTCCTGATTAAAACATTGAAATTGAAAAAATGTGTTAACTGCGCGAATCTATCTTTTAAAGTACCAAAACGTGTTGAAAATTGTCATTTTTTTTTACAAGAGTTCTCGGTAATTCTATTCGAGTTCCACACATGTATTAATTTATAATTTCAGAACGATATTCCACGAATTAACAAGTTTTAAACAATTTTTGATATCCTCGAGTAACACGACATTTAGTGAAAATGTGTCATGCTGATGATTTTCCGAAGTTCTAACGGTTGTTTTCGACAGTTCCTTAAGAGTTTTATACTTTAGAATCATTTTTACAAAGAGTTCCGACCGTTCACTATTTTTTAAACAATTTTTAAGAATTACGTTTAGCACTTAGTGGCGTGCTAATGATTTTCCGCAGTGAATAAAATTCTAAAGCATAGAATGGTTATAAAACTATCAAAAACAACCGTTAAAACTGCGGAAAATTATCAGCTCGATACATTTTCACTAAATGTGCTGGGCGCGGATATAAAAAATTGTTTAAAAATTGCTAATTGGAATATGGAATATTGATCTGAAATTGTATATCTATACGTGTGGAATCAAACTATGGGAAACTCTTGTAAAAAATGACAGTTTTCCACGCGTTTTGGTACTTTGGAGGGAAACTTTTTAGAATTTATCAGGAACTGCTATGGAAAGTGCTATGAGAACTCTTAGTATTATTTTTTTAAATTTGTACAATGTCGAACCAATTTCATATATAGACGCTAAAATATCATGTATAAAAATCACGCGTTAATCTGACAATCTTCTTGATGTTTCTGTGAAAATTTCCGATATCGCAATGTTCGCGATGGTCTTTTCCGTGCGTACAATGGCATGTTAATACTCGGGCCCGATTACGAGCAAAGTGACGAAATAAAAAGTTATTGCATTCCGCGCGATTTACGCACAACTAAAAGGATCGGTACAAGAATGTCGATGGAATTTGTGATATAGGCATCTGCGCTCTTCTTAGACCTCCCTTTATGTCTCAACGTAATTTCTCGTCTGGCTAAATCGAGGGCATTAATAATGCGACGGTATGAAAAGACGCTGTGCGGAAGCTGTATAGGGGCATGGAGTATCGTGTAGGGTTGAATTGCAAGCATCGCTGTAAATGGCGGAAACACCATTTAGTTCTGTTGCACGCTATTTATTGTCGGCAGTACACGCGCTACAAGCCATTGCTAGATTATAGAAAATAATTGCGGACAGGTATAGCAGATATTTCTCTCGGAAATCTGTATCCAGTATCTGTTGCTGTGCGCGAACCCCTACATCCTAGATCCTCTGTGCATCCGTCCTAGAAATATCCGACTTGTATTCGCGTCGCGTTATGAAAGATTAATCAGGGTGTTAATATTTGCATAAAATAATAATTGATAAAATGGGCGCTTCGCGTATCGACATCGCTGACATATCGTATTTCGAATATTAAACCATCATGTCGTAACGCGCGTGGACAATAATTTATTCAGATCACATGCACCGACCTACCACGAGAATTCGACATATCCGGGCGTATTCAATTAATCATTTTATGGAATTTATGTAAAATGACGTTCATGCGAAAATATTTATTTGGCGCATTCGCGCCGCTATGCGCCCTGATGGATTACACGGAACGGCGTTAAAACCTCCGGCCGAGTGAAGATTCCGGGCTCCGATAATTTATAGCTCTTTGTGCAAGTTATCCCAGGAACTACTGTTCGCGGAAATAGCGCCCCCTCTGTGAGTTATGGCGGACACCGTACGTCAATACTTTAAACGACAGATAATTTACTTCTTTCGCGGTTTTGATTACGGGGTGGAAGGAGTCGCGGGAAGGACGCGCGCCCCATTTTTACGCCTTTCCAATTTCCGGACCGACAGATCGTAACTTTCCCGCCACGTACCAGGTACAAAATTGCTGTCCGATGATATGAAACGGTTCGCACGGCACGAGGCGACAATGCGAACGCATTCCATCGTCCGAAATCGTCGAAATTTTAGAGCGATAATATATCAGAGGGCATAAAATGAAATAACGTAAGTAATATCGTCCCATAAATCGAAAGTAGAAGAAGAGACATGTATAGTCAGACATAGGATATTTGCTCTCCCACGTATGAATCACAAGGGTACTATCGGTTGCCCTAGTTTCGCGAGATGTCGATATTACAACAACGTAGCAATAAAGTATAGCCGGACGTTTTAAATCATCTTTCTTCTCTCGGGAAGATATTAGATAAATGTCTCGCAACACTCGCTCGGTCAGATACACCGTTTCGACGTTACCCATTGAGGGACTGTAATCGCTTTCCGAGTGCGGATGCTCGGGCTCTCGACGTCGTCGCGCGGAAACGGTTTGACGATACGCGCGCGGGGTAGGTACTTCCGCCGGGGTACTTCCGCACTCGAATTTACGATGTAAGGAGATTTCGATGTCGCGCGCATAACGCCAGACTGATGTATGCGATGCGCACCGGCTGTCGCTCGGATAATATTTCGTGCGAGGAAGAGACATATACGTACACGAGGGAGAAAAAGCAGCGCGGGCAAATATTCTGGTCGCGGCACGTGCACGTAGAGGCGGCGAGACACGAGATTATTGGCATTGCTGTCGATCGCCTGTACACACACGAGGTGCAAGGTTACGCTCGTCCAAAAAAGCGAGCCGCATGTCAGAGATGTATCTCTCACGTCGGGAAATACGTTTCTCTCTCGCGCGTGATTCGCGAGCTGAAAGTCTCCGTGGGTGCGGAGCGGCGGCGCGGCGGTGGGCCGGGATTTAATTCCAAAGGCCGATGAGGAATGGAGCGCGTTGCGCTCCCATGCAGGGAGGATGGTAAAGTTCCTCTCCCGCTGCTACATTTCGTTACAAAGACCGGAGCCTTTCAAGTCGCATCCCTCTCAAATAAGCCTTTTGCATCTGCACGAGAACCCGGCGCGGAATCGCGAGCACGCGAGTAAGCGTGAGTTAGGCGAGAGCTTGTTCTCGAAGCAATTATTGCTTATCCCGGATGCGCTACTCGCTTTCTTCGCCGTCTGTACACTTCCTAGACAATCGCTTAAGGGCTGCTCATTGGCAGCCCTTTGTCACTTGATTATCTGAGAGATACGTGACTAGATCTTCCGTACTTAATTAATCATACGGTTCCTACTCTTCGGTAGAAAATTTTTCATGAAATTATTTTATTGAAATAATTTATATTCGTTTATTTCTTTGTAAAAATTTCCTTGTAAATGTGTTATAGTGTAATTAAATTGATATATCAATTTAATTATGTGATTGTGTGCCGTTCTAACCTTGGTTAAGACTGTGCTATGTCCGAAAGGAACGGCGCGTTGGTTTGCCAAGGCGAATTGTAATT